TAGTAGTAGTAGTAGTAGTAGTAGTAGTAGTAGTAGTAGTAGTAGTATTAGTAGTTTTAGTAGTAGTAGTAGTAGTAGCAGTAGTGGTAGTAGTAGTAGTGTAGTAGTAGTAGTCGTCGTAGTAGTAGTAGTAGTACTAGTAGTAGTACTAGTAGTAGTACTAGTAGTAGTACTAGTAGTAGTAGTAGTAGTAGTAGTAGTAGTAGTGAGTAGTAGTAGAGAGTAGTAGTAGAGAGTAGTAGTAGAGAGTAGTAGTGGAGAGTAGTAGTAGAGAGTGGTAGTAGAGAGTAGTAGTAGAGAGTAGTAGTAGAGAGTAGTAGTAGTGAGTAGTAGGAGTAGTAGTAGTAGTGAGTAGTAGGAGTAGTAGTAGTAGTGGTGGTAGTAGTATTAGTAGAGAGGAGTAGTAGTAGTTGTTGTTGTAGTAGTAGAAGTAGTAGAAGTGGCAGTAGAAGGAGTAGAAGTAGAAGTAGAAGTAGAAGTAGTAGTAGTAGTAGTAGAAGTAGTAGAAGTAGTAGAAGTATTAGTGGTAGTAGAAGTAGTAGCCGCAGAAGTAGTAGTAGTAGTAGTAGTAGTCATCGTCGTCGTCGTGGTGGCGGTGGCGGCGCTTCCTACAAATCGAAGGTTTCTGGCCGTCACGCTAGGCGAAGGCGAAGGTGGGCCTTATCATCCACCTTTGTGGCAGGTTCAACGCAAAGAAGATTCTAGTTGTGGTAACTGTGGTAAGACTCGTGTGGGGTGGGGTCGGAGTGATGGAGGTACTGGTAATAGTAGGGGTAGTCGACGGCAGTGGGAACTATTAAAAAGCGGGAGGGGGTGCGCGCAACGCAAATCAAGTATAGACAGCGCTGGGCTGCTTCGTTTCTTGATTGGTTTAATTCGGCGTCACAGCTCAAGGTGAAGGTCTTATCATCCAACTTGGTGGGGTTGTCAGAGCTGAGCCTGCACTTTCATTCACCTTGCGGCGCTGGCGCAGCTGAGCGAAGGTGGGCCTTATCATCCTCCGTTGCGGCGTTATCGCGGCTAAGCGAAGGTGGGCCTTATCACCCACCGGCATGGCTTGAACCATTCGACTTCCACCAGCTGCCTTTGGCTTTGAAGGCATCAATTTCGCTGCAGGCTTCGGTCCTGGAGCGGGTTGAGGCGGCATCGACTTTGGATCTGCATTACCCTCAACTCTGCTGGGATCTGGTGCTCCCGACTTCGGCGTAGTGCTCTCCTCTGCTTTATCCTCTCGACTTGGAACTGCTGAGGAACGCTGCCTGCTGAAACCTTTCGTCTCTTTCCACCGGGGCGAGCCTTCGGCTTGGTATTCTTGCGCTTCTTCCGGATCGATTCTTTCTCGGCCTTCACCTCTTCGGACTTCTTCTCCGGCTTCCGAGGCATAGCCTTCACTGGTGCAGCGGTCTGGGTCGCCCTGTTCCAGCCTTGGGTCTTGCGCACGGCCTTGCGGGTCGCTGACTTAGCTGCAACTGACTTGGCCACAACTGACTTCCCAGACCTCATTTGGAATCGCTGGATCGTCTTCATTCCAAACCACCTCAGGACGCTGTCCCTCCACTTGTGGATCACAGGGATGGTCTTGGACACTGAGCCACGCGTCAACGCAAAGAAGATAGTAGTTGTGGCACCTCTGGTAAGACTCGTAGTGGGGCGTCGGGGTGATAGAGGCGCTGGTATTAGTAGGGGTAGTGGGTAGTGGGACTATTTAAAATGTGGGAGGGGGTGCGGGGGAGGGCGCAGCCACGGCTAAGCAAAGGTAGACCTTATCATCCATCTTTAAAACTTTGTGGCGCTGTCAATGTCAACGCAAAGAAGATAGTAGTTGCGGTAACTGTGGTAAGACTGGTGTTGGAGGTACTGGTAACGGCGGGGGTAGGTAGTGGCAAACTATTAAGGAAGCGGGGGAGGGCGCAGCGCCTCCCCCGTAATGCAAAGGGAGGACAATCTGCAAACGCGATGGGCGACCCTTTACATAGTTAGTTTTCGTGGCAAGCACAGCGCAAGAGTGCAGATTTCGTGGTGCTGGAGGGGGTATGGGGGGGAGGGCGCAGCGCCCCCCAATCAAAGGACAAAACCAACAAAGAGCAGCCCTCCCAACTCACTCCAACCAAAGTACACAACCGCCTTTGTTGATTTGATTCCCAAAACTGCCAACCACACCAAACTGCAGCGCTACCACTCAACACCGACTACAGACCTCGGTGCCAAACTCAAGTGAGTTTTGCAATCTTTGCTGGCTGTAGCAACTTGCAAGACTCAGCTCAAAAGTTGAACGCAGCATAAAAGTATCCGAACCACCTCCCAACACGGCCTCGGAAGCCACGTAGACGACACGGACAACAGCAGCTGCAAGGCAAAGTGCATGAATGGCAACCTTCACGTCTCCAAGTTCTCTGCAAAACTTGAATGCAAAATGAAGTCCACGATCCTGAATGCTTAACCTGTTGAGTATCTCAGACTGTGTGATGCTCACACAAGACACTCCTGCCTGACCCCGACACTCTCATAACACACTCTTACGCTTGACACTGGGGGGTAACGAAACTCGAAAAATGCACTCTTAAGCGAAACTCTTCTGAGAGACTCTTGCGCGACATAGGGCACTTTTGTGAAACAGTCTTGCTTGAAACACTTTCACGACACTTTTGCGCACACGCGCACACACTTATGGAAACGCAAACTGATCTGAATGCCACACGCCCACCTAGGTGCGAACGCCGAAGGGTTGAGGTGCTTTATCAAGTCAAGAAAGTGTGCAAAATCTCAAGGCCTCCAAAGGTCTCCAAGTCCCGAACAAACGAAGCGAAGGCAGGGCGAAATGACGGCGGCCGCTCTTGTCTGCACAATGCCCCAGCCCTTTAAGGAAGATGAGAGTGACAATCTTGTCAACAGTTCCACAAGGGCAGGTACACCAGGTTGATCAGACCTGGCTTCCACTATCACGCATAGCTTCGCTGGCATGCGTTTGCGTGATAGCCGCAGCCCCCTGCATAAAGTGGAAAACAGGAAAACCAATCCGAAAGGATCCTTGTGACTCCAAGGGTTACACACACACACACTCTGACATTGGTTTTCAGTTGACTCAATTCCCAGGTGAAAGGAAGGTGAGAGAACCGCATGGCGAAAGGTCCAAGAAATTGAAATTGTAGGTGTTTGAACAAAAGTTGTTTCTCGTGTCTGCAGAACTCAGCGGCGACGAAACGAGCGGCGCGGTGCAGCTGCAGAAACCAAGGTTTTGGGGGCGGTAGCATGAAGAACTATGGAATCAAACAGAGCAAATTAGACAGCGTGGTTAAAAGTTCGGGTTGCAGGTACGTCCTCTTTCGATATCCTAGTCTGAACCTGGAGCTTCGTTGGCTCACGCCAGGAACAGGCCCATGAGCCCCCTGCGTATGCAAGAAAATAAAAGGGAAAGCAACTCTTATACCGAATCCGGCGCCCATGTTGCACGCGGTCACTGTTTTCTGTGGTTTCTTCAAATAGCGTTCGCAGTCTCTTGCTGCGTGGCCCTTGAGGGCGTAGAGGCGCACTAGCTCATCGGCCGCTGCAGTTGCGTCTTGTGGTCGGAAAGTGTACGTGTAAATTGCGTGGAGTCGGGACGCCATGAGTCGTTGGCTGCCTGCGCTGGTGGAGTCCCTGATCTTCCAGGGTTGAGTGGGTTGAATGTAGGTGATTGTGCGTTGGAGAAGGTCGACGTTGAAGCCCAAAAGGTGCATGTCATCCACTGTTTCAAGCTCGACTGGATCGCCGAAAAAGTTGTGGTGGATGAGCGTTTGGATGGCTGGGTGGGAGAGGAAATGTTCGTTGTGGACGATGAAGCGATTGTCCACATAGCGGTAGTAGGTGAAGTGTAGGTCGGAGTGGTGGAGGAGGTTGTTGTGGAGCTGGTGCCAGTGTTCTGGTGATGGCCACATTGCAAAGGGCTGGAGACAGCTGGGATCCAATCCCGGCGCCTCGGATTTGTTTGTTAGTTGCAAGCCCGGAAAATACAGGTGTTGAGGGCACAAGCCACGATGGTGGTGATGTCTGATGTGTGAATGGTGCGTTGTGTGGGATGGCGTGTATGGTGTCTGCCAATGTGAGAGTGGTGAAAGGGATTGCCTGTGGCTTTGGTATCGACGGTGAGGGTATGGGTGGATTGCTTGGTTTGCCATTCCTGGACGATGGAGTGGACGGCATCGATCAATCTGTGTTGGGGAACTGAGTTGAAGAAGCCAACCAGGTCGTCATTGGTCGCATGTAAGGTGATGTCTGCTGGGGTTTGGGAAAGATAGGAGTGGAAGCGGCGCCAGAGTTGTGGAATGGAGAGTTGTCCCGGGTGTTGCGGGAAGAGGTGTTGCCCTGAGTCTCGAAGATTAGTAAAATTACTAATTTAGTAAAATTACTAAAACCGAAGAAATTACGTATTTTTTTGGTGTTTTTATTGAAAAACCTAATTTGAAGGACACAGGGTTGAAAACAAAAACGTATACACTTTTGATGCGTTTTCGAAAATACCGTAGAATTCCTCCGTGTGAGCTAATGTCCTAAAAGTGATTTCGCACATATTTTCTGACATGAACTGCAAAAAATGTTATGAAATCAAATGTTGTTGACGCTGACCAAATCAAGCATTAAACACTTAGAAAGGTTAGAAAGAATGTTGTAAATCTGGTAAAGTAGAATCGTGTACATCTTGTAAAGTAAATGCTCAAGTAAAACTGCTCCATCAAATCCTCGCGTAAAACTGTGCCAGTAATTGCGCAAGTAAATCCTCAAGTCAATGTCCAGCAATGCTGAAGTATATCCACTCCAAGTAATGCTGAAGTAACGAACATGCTCAAGTAAAACGCATGAGCCGACGGCTCAAAGCAAACGCAAGTTTCCTCCTCCTCTCCGAGTCTACTCCATCAAGTCAGGGCCGAGGATCGCAATGCTCAGCCCTGTGAACTTGTTGCGCACGACCACAAAATTATTGAGCTCCAGCTGGACCACCTGGTCTAAAGGCCAGTGTTGATTGCAACCAAATGTCTTTGCTTAATGGCCGCGACCCGACCAACTGCAAAATGTTTGTTGCCGGACACGCACGATTTCCAGAGCTGCTGTACAGCCTTCATGTTGGCCTCGCCTTTGAAACACCAGGTCAAGTACGGATGGCAATGTTTCGACAATTCTAACGTGTGCAATGTAAAATGCATCTTGGTGGTGCAATTGAAGATCTGCACACCTGTGGCATCATAGTGCTCGCTCAACAGGACATGCACTTGTGCCATTTGGCATCCCTTCTGAAACAATACAGAACAATGAGGTTCTGGGATGGACATGCATCCAGACCGAGGCGAGAAAGTGTTCATGAGTTCATTGATTTCCACTGTGAGCTTCAAGAAAGCTTCGACCCAGAGATGCTGTTCAACAGCCACGTCCATGAACTGCTGCCAGGTATTTAACAATGCCCAATCGAGGCCTCTGATGTCTGCGGCACGCCCTTTCAACTTTGGAAATCCGGAGATTTTCATGAACATGGACAACTTCGAAAGACGTTGACGGTATCTGGCCCGAGTGGGATCTCTCCTTTGAATTGCTCTGATTGTTTCCTCTACAACCTTCAAATTAGACAACGGTTCCTCGTGTAAACACTCGTGCGTCAAGAGATAGAACGCTGAACCGAAAAAATGCTGAAGCCAGCCTAAACAGAGATTGTGCATAAGGTCATATGCAATGCTCCAACAATTCATTCCAGGTAAGCCGAACAGTAGACACTTGGTTGTCCATTGTGACCTCCAAGAGGCAGCGCTGAGCAATGTGCGCTGCCAGCCGCTGGTTTGGCGGTTGTCTTGCCAGCTATTGATGCCTGCAAACGTTGTCCGGCACTGAACGCAAGGTCCACTGTGTATCGACCAATTCGGCGTCCCCAGCCACTTGGCGTTGTAATCCAGGTCGCCGCAGAGCTGCAGCAGGCACGCGCTGTACTTGCCTGCCAAACGCTGCCCTGCTCGTCGGCCTTGCACAGTGTCCGCGGGAAAGGCAATGCCACGCCAGTCTGTAGATGGCCAAACGCCATCCCAGAGTGCTTGAAAAGTCCACAACATGACGGACCACATCGTGCCCATTGTACCCAGACAATGCTCCGTGGACGGTGTCGCAAATTTCTCGAACACGCCAGTGATGTAAAAGGTCAGGTCTTTGCCTTTGCCGCCTAATGCGCTGCACAGCATCGACATCCAGGAAAAGGACAACACTGATCGAGACCAGACCTTCCCAATTCCCGTCACGGAGACTTCGTCGCCGTGCAAAAGTAAAGGCAGCACAGTTCGCTTCCAATGCTGTTTTTTCTTAATGGGATGCCCAGTCAGAGTGGGGTGGTGCTCAAACGCATTCCAGAAAGCCTCTAACTGTTCCTCTTGTGGAAGAATTTTGCTTTTCCATTGCTGAGAATCTTCATACATACACGCGAAGTATTCATGCGGAAGTAAGAAATGAGCTTCGCCAATGCCAGTTGTATATGGCATTGGCACTTTCATTGGCTCAGGGACCATTGTGCTTTTTGCCAACGCTGTATGCACACTTCTAATGAGATTGCGGCCTTGTTGAAGATTTGCCAACTTGTACAATTCTGGAAAAGTAAACCCTTCTTTGCATGCCTCCAGATCTGTCTTGCAAGCAACCGCTATTTTATGCGCCAATACGCCACTCATGATTCCCTGGGCAATCAATGCCATCAAGAGTGCATGCGCAGCAGATTCCTTCACCATAGCCTCTCGTTGATTGGCTATCCGCTGCTGCTGGCCTCTTCGTCTTCGTTTGACACCGCGCTTCATTGGCGGAGAATCCATAGTGAACTCAGTGTTATGCACTTGCGAACCCTGAGGTTTTGACACATGGAAAAATAGATTGCAACATCTCTTGTTTGCCCTCTCACCGCTTTGGAAAAACTGTGCAGCGCAGCATTCCTAGTACAATGTTGCGCTTTGACTTTGTTGGCACTGGTGCGGAACTTTTAGAGTAAAATTGCAGAATGCCCGGCGGTGCGGTAGAGGGAATGCTCAAATAAAGGTTGAAGCTGTATAGAATAAATGCTCAAGCAAGGCTGTAGGGAATGAATGCCCAGGGAAGGCTGTATAGAATGAATGCCCAGGTAAGGCTGTCTAAATGAATGCACAGGTAAGGGTGTCTAAAATGAAGGTAAGGCTGTAGAATGGAATGCTCAAGTAGAGCTAGAGCTATTGCGTACCAAAAAATGCTCGAGTAAATCTGGTTAATGAATGCTTTGAATTGCACGCTCGAGTAAAGCTGTTGACTGCACAAGAAAATGTGATTATTTTCAAAAACCAGAGGCCGCTCGCGGGTCAGATGGGCAGAAGGTCTCTATGTCACCTTCTTCGCTCGAACACTCAG